ACCGCTCTCCTTTTGCCTCTGCATTTCCCTGGGAACTTTCTACTCCGGAGTTAACTATTAACTTCAAGAAGCAGTTTTCTTAAGCAATTTTCTTAGGAATGCGAACCATTTCCTTTATCCAGCAGATAGATCGGGTGATTGATTAATATGGAAATTTATATTAAAACATGAGTCGCAGGCAGGAACCCTCTCCCCGCAGTCACAGCCGCACGGCGAGAGCCCCTGGAGGGGCAGGCGTGGAGGGAAAGAAACACACGGCGCTACTACCGGGGGCTTTCCCGGCTCGCCAAGAAGTACAGAAATCGTGGATATACCCAAACACAGCAGTGCAGAGGCTAATATTAATGCTGAATGCAGGGCACGAGAGGGTACACGGGCAACAACTCGCCCGACATGACTGCCCAGAGGGAGGTCCCCAGGCGGCTGCGCTGCCAGGATGGGACCCCGGGGGAAGGCGAGGGCACCGAGGGCACCGAGGCTCTGGCGGGGCCGCAGGGCAGGAGTTGCTGAGCCCATATGTGCCCATATAGAGAGCAGCGCGTTCCCCGCTTCCCTGGGTACGCGGCGAGGTCGACGGGTGGCGGGGGGCAGCGGGCGAGCGGGTGACTCCAGCCGCCAGGTATCCCAGGCGGCTTTAAGCAGGAAGCGGCGCGTGTGCGTGAAGGCACCGGGGCCCTGCGGTGACCCGCTGCGTGCGCGGGCGCGTCTGCTCCGCGGGGACGGGCGGCCGCCGGGCAGCGGCGGGATGTATCACATGCGGGTGGCGGCAGGAGCCATCCCGCTGCTGCCTTCCCTGGTCTTTCCCCCCGTTTCTCCTTCCTCTCTGCCTCCTCCTGTCCTCCTTTCTCTTTCCCCTTCCTTCTCCCTCCGAGGGGTATTTCCCGCTTCCCTGCGCTCGGGCAGGGGCTCCCCATCCTGCCCCTCTGCCTGCCCCCAGCGCCCCCGTCCCCTTTCGCTGCTGCTGGTGCCGCTGCCCGGGCGATCATCGCCGCTCTGAAGTTCTAACTGGTTTGTGTCAGGCAGCTCCCTCTAAGCAGCCTGGCGTGACGGATTAAACATCAACTAGTTAAATAAAAATTAATATCAACTGCCTCCTAACTTCTAATGTCATGTTGTTTATAACTAATGAACTGATTAGGGGATAAACACATCAGGAAGACATTTCTGCTTCCCTGCTCTTTCGAGAGAGATTTGCAGAATTCAAAGTAAATCTCCCCGGGTCCCTCCTGGGCTTTTCCCAGCGCGGCTGGGTGCGGGAGGAGGGAGATGCGTTGGGGTGGGTTAGGGCCAGCTTTGGGGAGGACATTGGCTGTGCGAGGACTCGCTGGTCGCACGACACGTCCCGCGACCCCGGCAGCGAGGAAACGCGCTCGGCAAACGTGGTGCCTGCTTTAGAGGCGGTTTGGAGAGGACACCTCGGAAAAATGCTTATCACTGCCGTTATTGACTTTCTTGCGCCCCACTTTAATATTTAAAATGAAACTTTTCTCTTTGCTTGAAGCGACAATCGATGGGTTTTAAGTGTTATGAAGGAAAGCGCTCCCGCCACGTTTCTCATTTCACAACAACCCGCTCGCCTGTGGCTCCCGTTTTGCCAGCCCGCTTTGTTAGCGTTTTCCTAAACACTTCAGAAAAAGAAACACATACACGCACGAAACCCCCGACAGGCTCAGCTTGGAGAGGTCCCAAGCTTTTAAATACTGTTTGCCCAACACCGCCGGCTTTGACAAGACAATAATATCAGGGGAAGCTTTTTAAAACCAATTTAGCAAATGCAGAAATGTAATTTTAATGAAGAATCGATAGCAGAATGGTTCATTTTTCCTAGGACTCCTTGTTGGAGCTGAGAGAGACTTTCAATCAATGGGGAGATGGAAGAGGGGGGTAGAAAGAGAGAGAGAGAAAAATATTCCCTCGGTGATGTCTTTAGCACTGGGAATTTTTCTTCTTTTTCTCTGTAGCTTTGCTTTCTTTACTTATTTATTCCCAATCGCCAAATCTTTCCCGAAATGCGGCGGGGGGAGCACGGAGGGGCTCCCGGGAAGCACAAAGCTGAGCACTCCCCGCAGCCCATGCGCGGGGCGCCCCGAGGCCGCGGCGACGGGCGGGTCCGGCCCCCGCGCCCCACGCGGGAGGGAG